GGTATTTTCAAGGATATTAACTTCTATTTTATGTGGTTTCAATGTATAAAAGGAGGGTTGAAGATCAATATTTAATTTGTTTGTAGAGTGTATTATGATGGCAGATCTTTGATTGTTAGTCTCTATCAAATTCATTCACAATTTTTATAGACTCTGATCAATTTAGATCTTTACCTAGTGTATGAACACCTGTCTATTGTCGAAAACTGTATGTTTACATAAGTGTATGAACACCTGTCTATTGGTGAAACCTATATGTTTACATAAGTGTATTAACACCTGTCTATTGGTGAAAACTATATGTTTACATAAGTGTATGAACACCTGTCTTTTGTTGAAAACTATATGTTTACATAAGTGGATGAACACCTGTCTATTGTTGAAAACTGTATGTTACCCTATAGATGTTGTTGGCTTGCTGTCTCATAGAACTTTTATTCATATCTAATACCCATACTAGTTAAAAATTACCATTTAAAAGTCAATCAGCTAATCAAAGATCAACATATATAATTGGTCACTCCTTCTCTTAACCTACAACATGCTATAAACTGTAAATTCAGAAATTATTGTGTGCATTTATTATTGCGATTTTGTCATTTTAGACTAAAATGCGATTTTAATTTTTGCGATATTGAGAAAAATCCTGTTTAATTCATATAAAAAATTTCAAAATGTGAGTTTAAATTATTGCGATTATAACCCTGTCGCATTTTTTTCGCAATAATTTCTGAATTTACAGTATGTCTCTGTCGTAAGATTGAACAATTTTGTCTTGTGTTTATTCTATCAAGTTTCTTAAGTATTGTTTGATTTTTTAGACCTTCCTTTATTTATTTTGACCATTATTCTCTATTCTTCATATTTAGAACCCGGGCCATTTATATAGTCTCTTCCTTTATTTTTTTTTTGGCCTATTTTCCTCTCTTCTTTATTTAAATGACTCTTTTTCTAGGTCTGTTAGATTCTATGTTATAGATTAAAATAAATGGGGAATGTGTCCATCAATTTAAACTTGATCTGTGTTTTGTGGTAATAAACACTTTGTATAAGTTTCATAACATTTGATTGAGGCAAACCAAAGTTAGAGAACAGAAGCCAAATTCCAGACATGTTTACAGACGGACAATGGTAACATTTAATACCCCTCCGCTGCAGCAGATCATAAAAATATGTAGTGGATTTTAGGATCAGTCAACCAAAATGGTTCTTCCTTGTGGCTCCTTTGTTTCACTTTACAATGTTGATATAAAAATAAGGAGATGAGGTATGATTACCAATGAAACAACCATCCACCAAAGTTCAAATAAAGTGGATGTAAGCAATTATAGGCAACCATACGGCCTTCAACAATGAGAAAAACCCTATAAAAGGCTATAAAAGGCCCTTACATGATGTTTCTTTCTTTTAACTTTTTTCCTTTTGTAAAGGGGCATAACTCTAGAACAGTAAAAGTGACACCACCAAAATTCAAACTTGACCTGTATTTTGTGATGATAAGCATTGTGTATAAGTTTCATAACATTTGGTTGAGGCAAACTTAAGTTAGAGAACGGAAACGAAAAATTCAACAATTTTTCCTTTTGTAAAGGGGCATAACTCTAGAACGTTTAAAATGATACCACCAAAATTCATACTTGATCTGTATTTTGTGGTAATTAGCATTGTGTATAAGTTTCATAATATTTGGTTGAGGCAAACTAAAGTTAGAAAACGGAAATGAAAAATTCAGCAATTTTTCCATTTGTAAAGGGGCATAATTCTAGAAAGGTTATAGTGACACCACCAAAATTCAAACTCGATCTGTATTTTGTGGTAATAAGCATTGTGTATAAGTTTCATAACATTTGGTTGAGGCAAACTAAAGTTAGTGAACGGAAACGAAAAATTCAGCAATTTTTCCATCTGTAAAGGGGCACAACTCTAGAGCGGTTAAAGTGACGCCCCCAAAATTCAATCTTGATCTGTGTTTTGTGGTAATAAGCATTGTGTATAAGATTAATAACATTTGGTTGAGGCAAACTATAGTTAGAGAATGGAAACTAACTTTGGGACGTACGGACGTAAGTACAGGCGTACGGACAGACAAGGGTTAAACTTAATGCCCCTCAGCTACGTCGGGGGCATGAATAGCATTTTGATTTTTTGTCAAATTGTAATTAAAGACCCTGTGAGTGCTTGACATATTGTATAGACACCTGTTTTTTGTGAAAGACCTTGTATTTTGCTCTCTTGATGTCTTTTGATTTTTTTTGTCATTGGGTTGTTGTCTCATTGAAATATACCTATCATCTTCTGTTAAGATTCATATAAAAATAGAGTTAGTTCTCTTTGTATTTTGATTTTTTTAACAGTCCAAAATTCTTTTTAATATAAATGACAGAGTTATCTCTCCTTGTGTACCCCATAACGTAAATCGAAAAAAAAAAATATGAAATCAGTTTCAACAAGTCTGGGTCATATTACAAAATTTGAACAAATCCACACATTGAGGAGATCATTGCACAAGCTCAGATGGATGCATACATTTAGGGGCCAGCTGAAGCCCGCCTCTGGGTGTGGGATTTTGCTGTGTTGAAGACCCATTGGTGGCCTTACACTGTTTTCTGCTCTTTGGTCGGGTTGTTGTCTCTTTGACACATTCCTCGTTTCCATTCTCATTTTTATGTAAAACAATGATACAATTGGTAAATAAGTAAATAATTCTTAAAATGTTTTTATATTAATTTAATATGAATGCATAATTTAAGGCATGATATGACAAAATTGCACATACTTTGCAAGATTTTACTTCAAAAGTTGCCGGACCATTGAAGTAATCATATTTTGGAAGCAAGTAGCATTCGAACACTCATCAGTACATATACTACAAAACCCGTTGTAAAATTGCACACTTTAAAAAAATACAATATAAAAGTGATGTCTTGGTCATTTCTTATGACAAATTCAAATATAAATAAAAAATGCTGAATTTCTTTAAAAATAATTTGAATTTTAAAAAGTTTGTTAAATAGTACCATTTAAACAATAATTTACTGTACCATATCATGTTTTAATGGTACTATTTTTTTTGAAAGTGATTGGTTCTTTTCTCAAATTTGTACCAGTGGTACGAATTTGAGAAAAGAACCAATCACTTTCAAAGAATCAACTATATATAGGTTTCACATAGAATAACTATGCATTGTCTCAAAATATTAATTTTTTTTACAAGGGTAGATTTTGTGGCTTACAAAAAAATCATGTTTTAATTGAGACAATATTAAAATAAGGAGATGTAGTATAATTGACAATGAGACAACCATCCAGCAAATGATGTGGATATAATTATACGTCACAGTATAGCCTTCAACAATGAGAAAAAACATACCGTATAGTCGGCTATAAAAGGCCCTGACATGTAAAATGTGAAACATTTCAAACAAAAAATATAACGACCTAATTTATAACAAAACAATTTACAAAAAATAAATATGACAGACAAGAACCAACGACAACCACTGTACTATGGGCTCCTAACTTGGGACAGGCACATAAACAGACCTGCATTGTTTCAAAATGTCATAAATAAAACTCTAGGAAAACACATTATAAATGTCACTAACAAAGCTTTATAGGGTCAGTGACTGTTTTATACAAATATTTATATGGTCATTCAATTCAATTTTGACTGCAAAAATAGCATTGTGGATTATACAAATAACAATTATATCAAAATTTAAATGCAGTCAACAATGATCAAATTGGGTAAAACATATAGAGAAAAATACTATAACATGGCTCTCAAAGCTCAAGGATTTAATTTGTGATTTGTATCTGAACTCAAGCATCATTGACCATAGCAACTTCAATTCAAAACATTGGAAATACATTAGCAGTTACTATGAAAATAAATATAGTGTTTTAACAAACAAAACTTGTACATTATGTTGTATTTAACTCCAGAAAGCATTCAATATGCATGAAATATTTGCCACTGGACATTTAGCAAAATCGAGTCAATCGTTGTATATAATGGACATTTAAAAAATAAAAAAAATTATTGTGTTGTGTTATGTATAATGATTAGGTCAATTTAAATAAATTTTACTTCAAATACATATTCAGAATATTTGTTTCATTTTATCATAAGTAAAAGGATTAAACTACATTGTAAAGAACAATAAAATATTACACAAAAAAAAACATGCTTCATCCCTCAAAACTCAAAAACATTTTCTCTAACTGGTCCATAATTCAAAATAAAATATTAGATATATATAAAAACTGCAGCAAAAAAATATAATATAAATAATGGACGAAACTTTTTTAAAAATGACATAAAAGTTATCAAACTTTTTAAAAATGACATTAAAGTTATCAAACTTTTTAAAAATGACATAAAAGTTATCATGAGTTATGACATATGTAATAACATCTGCAGGTAGGAATGTTCCATGTTAAATTAAGCAAGCATTTGTACATACAGCCCTGAAATGACTAGATACTACAAAAAAAGTTTATCTTATTGATATTCATTGTGGTTTGTTTAAAAAGTTTTATACCTTTTTAGTGGCTGATCCTTTGATTGCCAAATTTTTTTTGTGTTTTTCACAATACATGTACATGATGTATATATAAATTTTTAGTTTAAGATAGTCCAAAAAAAATGTTCGCCTTACTCAGCTCGGCAGTATATAATCAATTATTGAGAATTACATCATAAATCCTGGATCCGCCCCTGCTTTCAGGACCAATCTGATTGAAATACATATCTTGTGTCGATGCTTCACTTACAATTATCTGACATTCATCCGTTCTACTTTTTGTTTTTAAAAACCTTTCAGGATCCTCTGGTTTTGTCATTATGATGCACACCTTCAAAAATTTTAAGGCAGAAATTTCATTGGTCCATATACTAGTTACCAGAACAGAAAGTAGAACATAGTGTTGTCTAATCCTTGTAAGAAAAAGGTGGAAAGTCAGGATCTGTATTTTTGTCAGATTGCTTAACATGCTTAAGTGCAGGACTTAAGGTATATTTATTTTTAACTATACAAATCGCTCATAAAAAGAAAATTTTATACTGAATCACATTATATTACCTGTATTAAATAAAAAAAATTTTTAGGACAACAATGGTATCTACCATTAAACATAATTCTATCATGTTTTTCTCTCAATATATTAATAGTTACCATGGAAACTGTGGTTTTATTATTTGTGGGATACCAATTTACGTGGATTTCTTGGCTATAGGTAAACCACATACTGTAAATTCAGAAATAATTGCGTGCATTTATTATTACAATTTTTGAAGAATGGACAAAAATGCGAAACTAATTATTGCAATTTCAGGAAAATCTGCATTCTGCTGTATGTATCAGATATCTGAATGCAAGTTCTAATTAATGCAAAACTCACCTACATGTAGTTGCATTATTCACAATAATAAAAACCTCGTTATAATTTCTGAATTTACAGTATTTAAAAATCATGAATGTCCAACAAATAACAAATTCCTATAGGCCTGTATATATGCGGACTTAGGCAAAACCACAAAATAAATATCCACGAAATTGTAATTTTTCTTCAATCCACGAAAAATTGGTACCTTTGACCTGCAGACTTTGGAAAAACCACAAAATAAATATCCATGAAAATGTAATTTTTCTTCATTCCACGAAAAATTGGTATCCACTAAAATAAAAGAATCCACTTCATATTTAATATCTATTTACATTGTGTTTTGTTTACTGCAATTCATCATAAGCCAAATCAAACTCATTATCATCAATCACAATTTTCAATTTCATTTCACTGACACCGATTTCATCATTGATCTGTTGAGATAGCAACCATTTCTCTAACAGACATAAAATTTGACCGTTATCTATTTCTTTTTTCAATGACTTAAGCTGTGCAATGGTCATAGATATTGTTCCGATAATTAAACCGTTTTCTGTATAAATATGAAGCACCAATGTGCCACGTATTTGTTCAAAATATTTAACTATTTCTAAATGATGTTTTGTTTTAAGAATATCATAAAAATTTTGTTCATAGCCATCGAAAGTTGGTCCGCGTTTTTTCCACATGACACAATGTTCAATTGGTTCTAAGTTTTCTAACTTTAATGAATCACATGAAATATTAGCATCAGAGTTCTGTACTGATCCTTTATATCCAGATTTCTTCATTGAAGAAGTTGAATTTTCTTTATTGTCACTTTTGTTCACATGACTGTTTGTTTTGCTTTGCATTTTGGGTAATGCTCCAGCATCATGTTTATTTTTAAAAGGGGAATCCCGTCTGTTTTTGGAATCACCTCTCCTTTCATTTGATATATCCCTTAATGGAGATTTAGTTCTTTTCTGTTCAGATGTTTCAGCACCTGTTCCCTGTTTTTTGTCAGACTTGACCAGACGGTAATCAGTATAAATATTTTGACTGCTAGGAGTCGACGTAATTGGTGTTTGCGATGAATGTGGTTGTTTCAAAACTTTCATGAGCAGTTCATCATTAGCACTACGATTCTTTTTGTCAACATATTTTTGTTGTGTTTTGTTGGAAGGTTTCAGTCGCTTCTTTTTGCGAGGAACACAGAGACAGAAACAGAACCCTTTACGCTGTTCATCATCTGTTTCCGGTTCACTTTCATAAGAATAATCTAACTTTTTACGACTTTTAGGCGACATAAAGTTTTCTGGATCATCAATTAAAGTCATGTCTGCATAGGATTTATGCATTCGCCTCGGCGTACGTAATAATCCATCAAAACAGGAAAGTTTCCTCTCCTTTTCAGGAGTATCTCCATGTTTCTCCTCAAAAGAGTCTCCTTCCTCCCATTTAGGAAAAACAGCCTTTATAGCATCCACCTGTATATTAAGTGTGATCTGTCCTTTGTGTCTTTGTTTCTCTAAATAACCTGAATTGAAAGAGTACATATGTAAATAATGAGCCTCAATCGAAGAACACAAAAACAAAAGAGTTTGATTCAGGCATGACAGGTCATCTTCGCTATGGATCTTAACCATTGGCTAGCAAAGATGATGACTCCAATCCTAATTGACTAGGACTGTCAGTTTTCCTACCAAAGGTCGAAGGTGTCTCTCCAGATCCCTCCGAAAATAAAAACTGACCCCCTCTATATAGCCAATAGTGCTGAAAGTGGCATTAAACACAATCAATTAATCTATGATTGAAGACTGTATTGTTGACTTGTAGCTGACGCTATTTTACCTATGACGACGTTGTTCATTTCATTGACAACAGCACGAGCGCCCTAAGTTTCTAGCGATAATTTTTTATATCACTCTACTGTGCTGAGTAAGGAAATTATCAGTCAGTAAGATCAAAGGAAAATTACGTAAAATAGCGATAAAAACATACATCTGTGAGACAGCAACCTTATGACACAAATAACAAAAAAGTCAGCGATAAACAGATTATCATTGGTCATCTCAACTCGATTGCTTTTCTCACTTTCGCCGTACCGGCTCAAGCGAGAAAATCAATCTCGTTGAGATGACCCACGCTAATCTATAAATATCCTACATCTACTTTTATTTATATATTTCATACGTTAACTGTAAGGTAAGACAAACATGTGGTATGGGCTTTGCTCATTATTGAAGGCCGTATGGTGACCTATAGTTGTTAATTTCTGTGTCATTTCGTCTCTTGTGGAGAGTTGTCTCATTGACAATCATACCACATATTCTTATCTTTAGATGTATTTGTGCTATGATTATAATGGAATTCATGGAAATTTAATGGTTAATGTTTTTATGATTTGTTGCTCAATATCAAAATGTACTATTGAAAGTATATATACACATAGGGTGCTTGATCAGGTTAAAAATCACTCTACATTGTGAATGCTGGTAAATAAGGGTGATTCACTCTAAAAAATCTCCCAAGATCACCAGAATGGGAAGACCAAATAGTAAAGAATAGAGAAAAATAAGCTAATAATAGGCTCATGAGAGCCTGATATCTCTCACCTGTAATTTCACCTATGTCAGTTTTGCTCTTACTGCTTCAATTTTTGAGATGAAAGCCAAAAACTTCATTTGACCGCTATGTTCTATTTTTAGAAACTGCCACCATGTTTTTGAATGGATCAAATTCCCGAATACAATCTATAAACTAGATACCCTAAGGAACATTCAACTAAAGCTTTTAAGTATTTGGCCAAGTAGTTTCAGAGAAGAAGATTTTTGAAAAAGTAAGACTTTCACCAAAATTGTAAATAAAAACATTTTAAGAGCAATAACTCCTTAAGGGGTCAATTGGCTATTTTGATCATGTTGACTTATTTGTAGATCTTACTTAGCTGAACATTTATTGCCATTTATACTTTCTCTCTATCTAATATAATATCAAAGAAAATAACCAAAAACAGTAAAATTTAATAAAAATAAACTATTTCCAACAGTAACCCAACAATGGGTTGTCGACCTTGTCTGAAAATTTCATAACCTATAGATCATGACCCATTTATCACTTTAACTCCCTTTCGCTTTTGCTCTAACTGCTGTAGTTTTTGAGATATAAGCCAATAACTGCATTTGACCCCTATGTTCAACTATTAGCCATGGCGGCCATGTTTGTTGATGGATCAAAACTTTGGATACTCATTATAAACAAGATACCCTAAGGAACATTCAGTTAAAGTTTGAAGGTATTTGGTCTAGTAGTTTCAGAGGAGAAGATTCTTGAAATAGTTTAAGACGGACGCCAATGCAAGTGATGGCATAAGCTCACATTGCCCTTTGGGCCAGGTGAGCTAAAAAATATAGAATAGAGATTAAAGGAGTGCTGAAATATAAAGAATATTGAATAATGATAAAAAAAACATGAATTTAAAATATAGAGAAATAGTCAAAAAAGTTAAAGAATTATAAGGCCCCCATAGAGATTACAGAATTTAAACAAAGCTCAAAAATCAAGTAACAACCTTGTCAAGGGAAGTAAATAATGTTGACAAACCTTTGCCATAGGTTGGTTTAATTCTGTGTTTATCCAAAGAGCTGGCAAGAGTCAGCTGTCCCGATTGTCGTAATGCATTGATAAACAGACCAATGGCAGAACTTCCTATCAACTCTAAGTGATGTAACAAAGCTGTGTTCCGTTGTTCACGGTTATTCTCCTGTAAGATGTTGTCACAGGAAGCTTCATCGAGAACGCCATGCTGTAGCAAATAATCAAGGATTGCATCTGAATCTAAGGATTGAACAAGGTCCTGTCGATTGGTCAGTTGTTCTGTGAGCATTGCACTATGGGATAATTAGGTGACTTTCGATAAGTTTTTCACCACTCTATAGTTGGCATCTGAAAGTAAAAATAAAACTAAGTCAAATATTGCATTTAAATCTAAAGACTGCTTTAAAGATCGGCAGGCTGAAACATTGTTTTGTGAAACAGTCTATAAAACATTGCATTGTGGGATATAGGTTTGCTTCTGAAAATACCTAAACTTGTGCAATACTTAATCCTTAAAGTCTGCCTTGATTTTTTACTGTGGATAATTATTATTAGTTGGATATTAATTTTTGAGGATTTCATTGTCGAACCAAAAATTAAAGTATTCAGCAAAATACAAATCTCAAAAAAGCATATATCCAGAATCTGTTGAAACCATGAAATCAACTTTACCGAAAATAGAATTATTCCTGAATCCTGTTAATTTGGAAGAGATGAAATTAAATGAAACACAGTGAAACAAAAAGCTAGCTCCACTCAAGTTAGCTGATTTTGTTTTAGTAGAGATGCATATATTATGTACTACAATATATTTGTCTGTAGTTTTAGATATTTTTACAATAACTTACAAAAAAATCTTAGTTTCAAATACCACAGTGACATTTTAATGCTTGTACCTGTATAACTGATTATCCTACAAAATTATGGTTTACTTGTATGGTTGATAAAATTTTATTTAAAGCATATTACTGATAATTTTATACAAGTCATATGATAATTTATCATAAATGTCATACCTGTATTATCAATGATGTGCATCCAGTATGTCATATTCACCCAATTAATTAAATCATTAACTGACATAATTACTAATTAGTTTGATTGGCAAGGTCAAGGATTACTGTTAATTAACAATGATTTGGTTTCCACAGATCATAAATCCCCTGAGTGATTGACAATCAATAAATACAGGTATTTCCAAAGGAGGGTCTAACTGGAAGGACATAAAAGCAGCTAATGTAGAAGTGAACCATTAACACCAATTTACTACCCAAAGAAATAACCAGGCCCCTTTAAATTAACAAGTTGGCTTTTGTACAAGTAGGTAGTAGTTCTAAAGTCAATTTAAATGTGGTAAAGACCAAGTATTTACAAAAAAAAATAATTTACACAAAAAAGATGTGTCTGAGGACATGAATGCTGCAGCTCAAGCTTTGCAATTTTCCAAGTTAAAAAGGGCAATAACTCTAGAACAGAAAATGACTCACTGACCAAATTTGAGCTCTGTCTGCATGTTGTGGTTCTGAGCATTGTGTTTGAGTTTCGTAAAATTTGGCTAAGGCAAACTTTAGTTAGAGTGTGGAAACGAAAATGGAACGAACAGACAGTCAAGGGTAACACTTAATGCCCCATTGCCTACGGCGGGGGCATAAAAAACCTTTCTGACTAAAAAAACTCCAGGTCGGAGATGTGAGCCTTTAAAATGATTTGTCAGCATAATTTGTTGTAAAATATTTGCATTGTGCGAAGTGAAGATTGATTCTTATTCTGGTAAACTAATAATACTGAATTTTTTAAAATCTGATTATTAATTTACCCCTTAAGGAGGGTCTAAATGGGGGGTCCTTCATTTCTGTATTCTTTAATTTTTTTTTTATCATTTTTCTTTATTCTCTATACTTTTTTACCCATTATTATTCTGATTTTTTTTTATATTTTAGCCACTCATTATTCTCTATTCTTTATTTTTTTGGTCCATTTTTCTCTATTATTTATATATTTTGCCCATTATTCTCTATTCTGTAAATCCCCATCCACACCGTCCTTATAACATACAAATGTATAAGGAAATGGGAATTGAGGTCCATCTTAAAAAAGGTCTAAAAGGTCCAGGGAATTACCACATTTTAGTGTGGAACATCTTTGCACAAAATTTTATGTACTTTTCTTTTGATAACTTACATATATGAATGGATTTTACTTGGTCCTTGTCATTTACTGACACGGTTAAGTGGCTGAAATCAGCCAAAACTCAAATTTATAAATTGTAAAAATTGGCAGGCAAGCCAAGTTTATCAATAATGAACAAAAGAGTCAGAGTGCAGCAAGATTCAGGCAACCTACATGGGGTAGAACAATCAGACATAAATCTGTAAAAGACTATATCCAAATTAATCATTGATTCTAAAATAACTTCATTTACTTGAGGGGACCGACTCCATATACATGTATCATCATCATCATGGCTCTACTAAACTAACTGACTCTAAATAAAAAAAAACAAAAAAACATTGTGAGTCTTTAACACTGAACTTTAATCAGATGTGGTGCTCCAGAAGGGTACCCCTTTTAGGTCACAATGTCACATTTTAAAACTATCTCTCCAGGTCACCCACAAGGTCATTTATAAGCACACAATATTGTTCTAAACTGATATGATTTTTGGTTTTGAAAACTTTAAAAGGACATATTTCCTTTTAAATGAGACATCGGGTCACAAGGTTGGCAGACTGCCAAAACCCCAAAAATTGCAGGTCAGATTAGACCATAGTTGGGGCCACAAGATGTAAAACTTTCAACGGTGTATTTATACTTGTTGTAGAATGTCTGTCACTATATCATTGCCTGGTCTAAAATTATTGACTTAACATGATGAACCCTGGATATTGGGCATTTGATTAAAAATAATTCAGGTGTTTGAGTCAAGTCCTTTTGTAAAACTTTGATGACCAGAGACCTCCTGGACTACTTAGCATAGATACACCCCAGTATGTGGTTCTATTGACCAAATGATTAGGTGATAATTGAAGGTTATTTAAAATATACTATTGTGAAACTTGACTTAAAAGTGGGAAGTGTGAAAATAAAAGTAGTCTATTATATAAGCTAGCTTAAAAACAGGTCAAAAATGCCCATTGCTATTGCCACCAAAATATAAAGCTGCAAAACTAAAATAAAAAGTGGGAAGTGTGAAAATTAAGCAGTGTTTGACAAAATCTTTGAAAATTTTTGGTCCTGATCAAATTGCTCTTCAAATTTGTTCTTTATTTGGCCTTTTAACGTTTTTGATTTGAGTGTCACTGATGAGTCTAAAATTTTTAGACGAAATGCACATCTTGCATACACAATTATAGGCTGAGTTTTTTTATACATTGCAGTTGTCCACCTTAAGCTAGAATACAAGTAAAATTTGGCCACCTTATTTTTTACAAATCTGATTTCATCTCAGTCAGGTGTCCAAGTTCAGAACTAAGGTTTCTTTACCTATAAATATGATGCAGATTTTGATCTAAATGATAGATATACAGGTATGACCTGTTTTAATTTCCTAGTTATGCCTCTATGAAAATATTTAGATCTGTTTCCCTTGTACTGATTAAAAAAAATAACTCTCATGCACGTCACAGAAGATTAGATTTATACACTCCACCCAAAATATGTGATTGAAAATATTATATAATGAGCTCGTACTTTACTTGCACCCAATCATTATCAAACTTTATCAAATCTTTTCAGAACATTTGATATAAAACTTATATATTCATACAAGTAGTTACGTAAGAGAAATCAGTGGGTGTATTAACATGTCAAAATATTGAAGACTTATAATCGGTAAAAATCAACAATCTGTGTTAAAACCTGCTATATGTATAATTTAGAATCATGTTAACTTGATATATTGCCGATCTGAAGGATTTAAAAATTCAAAATTTGATCACATGGTCTCAGTTTCATGTATTTAATTTGTGTCCTACAAGAAAATCAATATGTTTATACATAATCGAGAGTCTGAATGGGTTCTCTCATTTATTTACTTTTTCATTTTTCAGACCTTTTTTTCTCTATTCATTATTTATTTTGTCCATAACTCTCTTTTCTTTCTTTCTTTTTTTGGCCTTTTTTTTCTCAGTTCTCTAATTTATTTTGTCCTTTCTTCTGCACTTTTTGCCCATTATTCTCTATTCTGTAAACCCCATCGAGACCCTCATACATGTACATCAATACACATGATACATGTGGGTCTAGACTGTGTGGTATGAAGCTTTATGTAAGAAATCGGTTAAAATATGGTAAAGGAAAAGTTTTTATTCAGCAATACATATTGCAGTGCTCATTTAATTTGACACAATATCGCAAATTTTTACATGTCTCTCTAAAAATTTTGCAGTGAAAGAAATCTTTAATCAATGACATCTAGCCAACTCTGGAAAATAATAAATCCACTTAATTCTCTGGTGTTTAAATTTAAGAAAAATATTGAGTAAACCATTATTGAGATAGTATGCTGTATCTTATATAAGAGTAAGTCCCTGCAGCCAGCCTCTCAAATTCCTTTGACCAGAAATTGGTTAATTGGATGAATACTAGCCTACATTAGTCAAATTTATCCATCAACTCTAAAGCATATACATATGAGCTGGCTTGGATAGGATTAGACCTTATGCAGGCAGCAAGTGTATGTATACATGTACATGTATAAGACTTCTCTTGTTGAGAGTTGTCTCATTGGCAATCATACCACATCTTCTTATCTTTTATATTTGATTGATTTATAGGAACATTCAAATAGAAAAATAAAAGACGAATTTTGATGTGTTTTGTAAGGTTCTTATAACAACTCAATTTTCAAACAGTTACAGACTTTGTATTTTTTCAACCCGAAATAGGTTCACAGATGTGCATAAGGTCAATTTCTATTCAAGGCTGCTCATTTATATGCGGTTAAGTGCAGGTATTTTTATTTTACAGTTATTTTACGCAAATAAAATCTTTGAATTGTAACTGTGGTTATTTTGCAACTCATGTGTAGATTTTTTTTTTTAATATTTAAAAATCTGAACCAAAAACCATTCAATCATTTTGAGAAACCACAATGTATATATACATGTACATATATACTAAAGTATACAAAAATTTGAACCAAAAAATCAATTCAACTATTTTGAGAAACCTAAACGTAAATTGAACATAAAATTAAATTCAACTCACCGCACATCATATTCTCAAGAATTTAAAAATCCAAATTGCATTTTTATGTCCTTGAAACCATGTTTATGTTGTAAACATTACAAAATTTATGTAATTTAGACACATACATGTTTCTTTAACATTTTTAACCCAGCCTTAGG